ACACACACACACACACACACTTGTAAATGTATAGAAACCTGTTAACCTATTACTGTAGATAAAATATTCAATTCTTGGGTGAAAAGCTCCCACCCCCAGATATTTTGATAGCCGTAGTGAGGATGAGGAAGTCAAAAGTCAAGGTAGGATAGGTAAAAACTTATGAAAGGTGAGTATTTAAGTTTGAATTTGTTTAGCTTTTGTAGCCTTAAGCATGGGATTATTGTAAATTAAATGTTTTCAATTTTCCAGATTGTGCCCATCTTTTTTACAAATATTATAATTTTTATTCTGTTGATTTCAAGTTGGATGACTTTCTCATGCTTTTAAAATAATAAGAATACCGAAAACAGAAAGCCTTATCAGAATTACTGTGAAATACAAGTAGATCTCTTCAAAATACAAACTTACTTGATAAAACTGTAGTCCAACTTTAACTTGACCGGTAAATGCCTTTTGTTATTGACTAATATTATTTTATGTTGCCATGCATGTAAAACTTTTTCTTTTCTTACATTGTTTTTTTTGATTAAATTAGCATGAGTTTTAACTTTGTGTTCATAACTTATGTACCACTTGAGCATTTTAAAACACTATTTTGATTTTACTTAATTTTGTATTTCTTTTGAATTTTGAAGCATCTTAAACTATGTATATTTTGCCCTACTATTATAAATTTCACAAATTTATTACCTCCAAAAGCTTTTAAGAAGTTGGATTATTTTTATACACATTGGAAAGAATAAGACAATGGACTATTAAAAAATCTATAGAACCATGGCGGTAGTAATAAGAAATTAAATTTTTTCTCTCTCTATATATATATGTACTTGTAGTTATGCATATGGAACACTGGACTATTAAAAAATCTATAGAACCATGGCAGTAGTAATAAGAAATTAAATTTTTTTTCTCTCTCTATATATATATGTACTTGTAGTTATGCATATGGAACACTGGACTATTAAAAAATCTATAGAACCATGGCAGTAGTAATAAGAAATTAAATTTTTTTTCTCTCTCTCTCTCTATATATATATATATGTAGTTGTAGTTATGCATATGGAACACTGGACTATTAAAAAATCTATAGAACCATGGCAGTAGTAATAAGAAATTAAATTTTTTTTCTCTCTCTCTCTCTATATATATATATATGTAGTTGTAGTTATGCATA